GGGTCATCAAAGAGCATTCACACTCATGCTGAGTCCTGCATAGTCAAGACTGTGTTTTGTCGTCACTATACCACCAAGTAAACATCATAGAGAGCCGGCAACAAAAGAACACAAAATATTGCCGATGCAAGTTGATTTCACTGGTAAAAGACGGATCTCTTTCTCATAAAAGGTCGTATGTTTAAATCTCATTATCAATACGAGGATTATATTAATAAGCGATTTGTAAGAATATTTGTAAGTAACTTATGGTTTTGAGAGCATGCTCTAGCATGTGGTGGATCTAGTGATGACCAGAGGTAAACCCAACCCATTGAAACTTTCTTTTCTTACCAAAACAAAATGTTAATGTTGAATCAACTAAAGTTCTATTTGCAACCTACTTGAAACACCTGAAAACTAGCAATGTTCATCAATAATGTCCTTTCATAACATTGAGCCCATATACAATCACCTAGCAATAATAGAATACAAAGCTCTCAATTGGGCCGTTTGGATTAGGCTCCACTAACGATGGACTTAGTCCTAGATAAATGCTAACCTAAAGCCTGGGTCGGGCCAATTTAGGACAGGTTAGGCCCAAATTATAATTTACACAAACGTCACATGTGATAGTAATTTTCAAGTAATATTATATAGTGAATAGGGTTAAAAGATGAACCAAATTACTTGACATTTGAATTGAACTCAACTTAGTAAGAGTTAGTTTGAACTTGGTTCGCTAACTAGTCAAGACAAAGTTGAACAGCGTTTTATATTTGATAATATTTAATCTTGATTTAAAAAATTATTTCAAGTTTGATTCGGTAAATAAAACAAGTCAAATTTGAACAAAATTTTAGTGTTGTTAAAATAATTTAAAAAAAAAACATGAACACTAGGTATTAGATTTGATTAAACTCATTTACACCCCTAATAATTCAAGTATTTGACATATCTAAAAAGGAAAAGAAGAATGTTAAAAAGGGTCTAATTTTGAAAGTTACAAATTACTCTTAGGGCCCGTTTCAAATTGCGATAACTTATTAAAAAAATATTTCACCTAATAGTTTAGGTATTTTCACTAATTTTTTCAAACACTTGAAAATGGGGCCTTAATCACTAATTTTTTTCAAATCTATCATTATCCCATCTCCTTATCCTTATAGTTTAGGTATTTTCACAAATGATCTTTAGACACTTTCACGGTTATTATGATCCCAAGCTATACAAGTCAACATACAGGTAGTTTTATATATGTCTGTAGCTTTTTAATTTACAGTGTCTGTACTCAATTTAGTACTCCATCAGTCTATCATTACGGTGTTAGAGATCTACTAATTGGTAACTTTGTGAGAGTGTAGAACACTAGAAGACCATGAGCTCAGTGTTTTGATAATTTAAGGGGCAAGTTACATTTTATCCTCTATGATTTAATATTTTTGTACATAACCCCCCTATAGTTTCAAAAACTATATACATAACCCTTTCATGGTTTCGATTAAAGTGTTAAAGTGACGGAAATGATCATTCGTAATGGAACATTTAAAAATGTCGAAATTACCCTTGTTTAAAAATTAAAATAGCTTAAATGACCAAAACATATAAACATAATATATATGACGCACTAATTCCGTATGATTTTATGTTTGATCATATAACCCCCCTTATGATTTAATGTTTTATCATATAACCCCCTTATGATTTTCAAAATATATACATAACCCCCTTGTGGTTAATAATAATTTTTAATTTTACATAGGGATGTTTTTGATATTTTAGATGACTCCATTATGGATTGCAAATTCTGTTACTTTGACATTTTAATCTAAATCACGAGGAGGTTATGTATAGTTTTTGAAACCATAGAAGGGTTATGTATAAAAATACTAAACCACAGAAGGGTAAAATGTAATTTGCCCTAATTTAAAAACATGAATGCAATGCTTGAATTGGAAAATTTTACTTATCAATTTGATTGAATTTATGAGTATTGTCTATGTGATGGTTGTTCTTAAGTATAAATGAAGTACCAATTCACAAAACTCGTTTAATATGTAAGAAAAAAAAATGAAAGATCTCTAAAACGTGAATAAAGTTTTCACTAGAGGTCAATCTCATACATCATATACTGCCTACAATATTTGGAGCATTAACACCCTGATTACCATATTAACAAAGCCTTATAGTCAGAGGACACCTGTCTCCTTTTTAGGTTAAAATATTAGTCTGAGTGAATGCATAACACATGTGCAAAATATATTTTATTATTTAACAAGTACCCATTACCCAATCACCTCCTTATTTTTTTAAGCTAGTTTTTCTTAAGTGCCACTATTTAAAAAAAAAACACTCAAGTACCACTAGTTTTTCTTAAGCTACATGTCTTTAGAAACAAAAGCCTAAGCCAAAGTTGCCAAGTCACATCACTTATTATTATTTTTTTCCCAATAAATCATTTCCACTTTCAATTTAATTCATGGTGATCATTGGTTGTCCTCATGGTTCTAAGAAAGGTTTCAGACATTTTACCAAAAAGAAAAAAAAAAGGAAAAGGATTTATGCTTTCTCTTTAGACTGACTCTATATATAACGCCTATGAAAGGAAGCATTCCCTGCAAATTAAGTGTGCTCGAGGTCCCTCTTGTGTTTCAATATAGATTCTTGAAGTAAAACAAAGTAAATATATGATTATATTCTTCTTTTCCAGTACACTAAGGTTTTACGTCATCATCTTCTTTCAAGTAAGAGGATTGAAGTAAAAATTTGTGGTAATGTATGATATCTTGCTGTTTCAATTAGAACCCACCCCCCCCCCCTCCCCCGGGAAAAAAAAAAAGAAAATTCTTACTGTTTCAAACACATTCCTTGAGCTTCTTTTTCAAAACTTCATTGCTTCATTCTATTGTTATAGCTTTCCTAGTCTTTGAGACCAAGATCACATTGTAGCCAGACTATTGATACAGAGGCTTATTATCAACGAAGCTATACAATCTGGGAATTCGTCTTGGCAAGCTCATGCATGCTGTGAGCCCATAAACTAGTACAACATCAATTTGAAGTCTAGTGTACTAATTAATAACAACATATAAGTAACTGTAAAATTCTTTTGCTATCCAAATTACTTATTTAAGAATAATTTGAATCGAACATCTTCAGTTTTCATGCTTCGTATATAAACTAATAAGAACTTCAATATTTTATTAGATGAGTTTAGATAAATAAAGCAAGATCTTGTGAATCAAAACATCACCAATCCATTTAATATTTTAATTTCTTAAGGACTTTATTATTTCCTTATAAAAGAAAACATTAGAGAGAATCTTGTTAAAATAGAAAGTCGGTAATGAAAGTATATCACATTTAACTAATTTAAGTTGGTCATTCATTGTGTTCTTAAGTATGAATTAGACTTGAATCATTGTATGAGTCTCAACTCATGATAAAAAAGCAAAGATTTAATGGGATTATATATATGGCCTTTAAAATAAAATTTGATTTTGCTACGTAAATGTAAATGCACCTTTATATATTATGCTTGGCATTCACGACTTAAAATGATGCAAAGAAGAAATCAAGATTTGCATATTAGAAACTGAACTTTCATGTGCAAGTAATACTGGTAAATAAAAGTTACATCAGGCTCGTACAAGTCCTAAATAAAGGATGGGAAGACTAATTAAACTAATTATTACCTAATATGACAGATATAAATGTTAATTAGACTAACTTCTTACCTTTCTAATACCATGGATCTTACTACCACCATAGTATTGAGGTCAAATTAGAAAAACAACTCACGTTATGGCATTCGTCAAAACAAAAAACAAAGTAAAAGCAAGGGGACTAAAGCTGCAATTCCAGAAAAAATATATATTCATCTTCTTCGTTTAACCACTTACTAGCATCATTCTTTTGAACCTCTCGAGATTTTCTCTCTCTAAGTGAGAGCCTCTCTTTCTAAAGTAGAGTGTCTTCTACTCTTCTCCTCGTTGTGGGAGTGTGTCTGAAAATCGAAAGGAATTAACTTTGATCCTTTTCACACTAAAAGGCAAAGTATGTATATGTATAAATTGGTAGGTGGAAAGGGAGGATTGTGGAAATTGAAGGGTGGAAATTATATATTCCCTTATCAAATCCACTTTTGTAGGTAGCTTGTTTCCATATTAGAATCTTTTCTTATTGATGGACTAAGCTCCTCTCTGTTGAATTAGATATAAATTCTCTCCACTCCATTATTACATCACAACAAATGAATTTGAAATCAACAACGTTCAAAATATACTTCATCCACTCATGTTAATTATATGCAGAAACTCATATTAAATTGACTTAATTTTATTCGTTGGTTAATTATTGCAAAATTTTGTTGTGTGATGAATTTTTCACCATTTACATATTTCAAGCAAATTGAATGCCCAAGTATTCTTAAAGAAAATATCGATTTTCAATATGTTGATCTATACACCATCAAAACGAGAAAAAATAACATAATCAGACGATTCTAAAAAAATTCTATAGTAATTTGAATATAAATAAATGGAAAGAAACCTAGCGTAGCTAGTGGATTTGTCTTGATCGATGTCTTGACTATACCATTATTGCAGGTGCCTTTCAATGCACATAAAATTGTCGCTCTATTACACTTCCTTTTCATCTCCATCGCATTGCTTGCTGTCAAGTTTCCATTGGCTCTCTCCATTATTTTCCACCATAGAAGGGTCCTGGTAGAAGGGGTCATTTTGCCATTATGTTATGTTGCCACCATGAGAAATAAGCTGGGTAGTGACGGTGACTGCAACGGCCTATGTTTAACATGCTGTAGATGTTCAACCCAACGTTCATGGGCACACCTTAATATCATCGAAAGGACGTTGATGAGTGTTTGAAACGAGTGCTTTTAGTAAATGGTTTTGTCATCCAGTTACACCTTGGTTTTGTTTTTCTTCTATTGCGGATAACAAATGATTGTTTCTCTTTAGACTGACTCTATATATAATGCCTATGAAAGGAAGCATTCCCTGCAAATTAAGTACGCTCGAGGTCCCTCTTGTGTTTCACTATAGATTCTAGGTAATCAATTTTAGTTTCTAATTACTACTACACTACTACTAGTTTTCCCAAGCATGGCTTCTGGAAATATTGGGAACGATTGGTCTTCCGGCCTCTGTGATTGCATCAAAGATTGCCGTTCCTGTAAGTTCTAAGAATTCAAATGCTCAATAGATACCATCGTATAAGGTTTCTAAGGGTCTTAATTGTTCTATTATAATGCAATCCATGCTTCATGTTCATGAACATTTTGGCTTGACAGGTTGCCTTACCTGCTGGTGCCCTTGTATTACCTTTGGGAGGGTTGCTGAGATTGTGGATAAAGGCCAATCTTGTAAGTACAAAACAAGAACTTTTCTTATAGTTGTTCATCATTAATCTTGCTAGCTATGATCAGATATGAAATGCATTGATCCTTAATTTTTTTTTTTTTTTGATATATAGCTTGCTGCAAGATGGGGTGCATTTTCTGTGTGCTGAATCTACTTCTGTTGAATCATGGGTCCTTGGCGTGGATTATTAGCATGGGCTATCGCACTAAGATCAGGCAACAATACGGTATTATGGGAGGCTCATGCGAAGATTGTGTCCTTCATTTCTTTTGCGGGCGTTGTGCCTTGTGCCAAGAGTACCGTGAACTTCAGTTCCAAGGATATGATGTTGGTGCTGGTATGAACATTTTGCTACCCATGTCCTCCTCCTTTTTTGTATTTTAAATTCTAGAACGATTTTGGATGGTGTAGATGCAAGTCTTAGTAAAAGAATGGATTCTAGTAGCATCATAGGCAGAGTTACGTCTCTGTGTGTGTGTGCATACATACATAAATATATATATATATATATATATATATATATATTAGGATGATAAATACTCGTGAAAGTGTCTAAAATGCTGGATGTTAAATACATAAAGTATAGGAATAAAGAGATAAAATAATAATATGTTTAAAAATTTCAGTGATTAACAGCGCCTATAACATTCTTATTTTCCTCAAAAAAAGCGCATCACTAAACAGGAAGATTGAAAATGTTGCATCTTACGAATGTATTAAAATTGTTTTGCAATTAACTTGAGTGATTTTGAATCCTTATTATTGACCTCAAATTCTCAATTTTATTGGACAAGTATGTCTGGTATTACATTTGCACTAAAAGGTAGGGTGAATCTATCCCGTTCTCTTGTAGGCTTATCTTGTGCCTTTACTGTTCATATTAGCAAAAAAAAAAAAAAAACTCTGACATTTTAATGATCTCAATAACCTCATTCTTTCTCATTAGAAGTTAGAATTAAGTCTTGAGTTGAGGTACATGCTGTGTCAACTAATTATTCAATCAGAAGCTAATCATAATTGACACATACTCAATATTGTACCTTTATGGACCATTCTCCCAGATTTGGGGCAGGAACAGTCAACAGAAAAACCATCAGGACTGGTTTGTGCATTTTGCACAATATGTAACTCAATTTACACACGATGTAACTCATTTTGTACAATACGTAACTATAGAACAAAATTTTGTGAGTTCCACACATGATGTGAAAAATGATATACAAGATGAAATCTAGACCTTACATTTTTTTTAACCAATTCTTGGCCATTAACCTTGCGAAAAGGTTGCTTCGTGCAGCCGTTCCTGCCCCAAATCCCATTCTCCCTAATTGTACTTTGGTTTTCAGGTTGGGAAGCAAATGCTGCTAAAAAGGCTTCTGGGGTAACTATGGCTCCAGTTGGAGAAAAGATGACACGTTAGCTCAAAAGATCTTCTGAATTATGGCCTGAACTCATTTTCCACCTTCAATTCAAAAACCTTATCCTGTTAATTTTCCTATCTAATTATCTGTTTGCAATAATCTTAGAGTAAATTTTATATACATAAACAGTGTATATACTATAACCGTTGAATTCATGACATGCGTGCAAAAGTTGAATTTCAAATTCAAATTTTACATAGTTGTGATTCATCTAACGCTGAGAGTGTATATCCTATTACTATAGGAAAGATTAATCCATAATCTTAGTACCCAAAATTCTGTGCTGTACTTCAAAACTTTCGTAGTTGCAAAATGAGATTAGTACAACTTTATCGAGCGTGCGCTTGTCTTCTGCCACATCATCCATCCATGTCAGATGTTGCTGAGAATCTTGTTATGTATGCTCAATTCTTTGTTTTTTATTTTTATTTTTGTTTTTTATTTTGAGGGTGTGATGTATGTAAGGCCCTGTTTGATAACTCTAGTCATTACTTAAATTAATAGGTTCAGATTTTAATATGTTCAGACGTATTTGATAACCAAAAATAAAATATGTGAATTGATTTAAAGCATTTTCGAGCTTCAAATACAACGCAAAATCAAGTGAAGGGAGCACCACACGAATAACATCAGCTTGGCGACAAAATTTTCTAGGATAATGGATTCTCTGTGAAATTCAGCTCCCTTTATGATGTATTCCTTCTCTTTTCCCTTCCTATTTTTGCTTGTCAAGATTTCGAAGAGAACAAAAACATCTATTAGTAATCCCTCAGTCCCATATTATAAGTCTTAATTTCTATTTTGATTTATCCTTAAAAAATTTGTCATAATTTAAAAAAAAATAAATACAGATGCACTCCAAACAAATTATGTTACAAACTATGATTTTTTTTGTTTGTAATTGTTCCTTTTTTTAAAATTCCAAACTCAATTAGCAAAATATTAAAACATAATTGAGAGGCAATAATAGAAAAACATTCTTTAATAATTGAAGTGTCTGATTAAATTTTACTTTTCTTAAATTGTGTGTAACGTTGACCGTGACATATAAATTGGGATGAACATGTATACACTGTCAGTGTATATACTATCACCATTAGTTATATGACATATGTATAAAATTTAAATTCAAAATTCAACATTTGCTCATGTAACTAATAACACATGTGCAAAATTTAAATTTAAAATTTGTTCATATGTCATTCATCCAACCGTGATAGTGTATACACCGACAGTGTATATAAAATTTACTCATATAATAAATACAAAGCTTCCACCGGAAAAGATTCTATGTTAGGAAGTTGCTACCGTAGGTAAAGCTACGACAACAAAGCAATTGTGAAACTGGTGAGAAAGCGTACGTGTGAGCGGACAGACAACCATTGAAATCTGGCAAAGTGACCCAAAAGATCACAGGAACCTAAAGGAACCCACTTACTATGTTGTATGAATGCGTCCCAACCACCAGTTATTTGGGCCGGTGGCCACCATAAAAAACTGTAAGTTTTGATGAGTAGAATGTCAAAGGTTCAAATCTTGCCTCCAATCATTTGTCACAATATGTGGTTTTCTCGAATCCATATAGTGCATCCGTCTTATCCGATGGTGGTTCATTCCCGATTTCCCTATAGGTCCAGTTGGGCCTCCTTCTAAATTAAGTTGGAATAAGAATAAAGTAGATAAATGACGAATAATAAAAAAAAAGAATATGTCTCGGTATATTTTTTTTCAAATATTTCGCTTATTTCATAGACACATTTTTTATATATATTTTATATTTTTAACAATTTTTATCTTTTAATACATCAATTCCCAAAAAGTGTTATAGTAATTATTTCAAATAATCTCATATCCAAACACACCTATCATCAAAGTCAAAGATACAGTTGCGTTTGAAAATACACAAACTTAAGGAAATATGCAATAAGTGCAAAATGAATAGAAAATACAAGAACTTGAATTATCGAACGTCGTTATTTTTTTGTACCTTTTTTTATAGCATGGGAAGAATGGAATTTAAAGAATGGGGAATTATTAGGGTAATTTGAAACTAAAATTTGAAATCTCAACCTTAATCATTAGATCAAGACCTTAATCCATTATTGTTTCACAAGTAAAATTAGCTATAGCTCAATTATGATTTTTTCTGAGTTTACATTTCAAGAAGATAGTATAGTCCGTACTAACCAAATAATTTGAAACTACAGTCGCAGATAAGGAAGGACATAAAGGAAAATTAGGGAAAAATCCACTTTTCATCCTCAAACTTTGTGACAAAGACACATTTGGTCCCCAAACTTTTCGTCAGAGCACACTGAGTACATGAATTAACGATTTTTTGTCACATTTAGTAAAAAAACGGGAATTTACTCAATTTGGACGGTGAAGACCACGTGGCCGTTAACCAATGTCCAAATATCAATTTATAACCAACACAAGTCAGCTTTTTGTGGACATTACACAATTCCTTGAACAAGTTGTCCATTTTGGTATTATTTTAAGTTCTTACTTAATGGGCATTACCTATTCAAAATATAGCTTTTTGTGGACATTTTACTCTCAAACATTCAATTTATAATAAATATATAAATGTTTTTAAGTAAAATTCAAAAAGTGTTACAGTAATTTCTTACAAAAAAAACTAGTAGGTATCTATTTAACATAAATTAAATATTTTTTAAAAAAGAAATATCCCATAAAGTACCAACTCTTTATGGCTTATCTCCGTTACATGAACCAAGTACCAGATTTTTTTGGGCATTTTATTCTGAATCATTTAATTTATGTTAAATACATAAATATTTGCAAATAAAATTCCAAAGCCGTTACACAAATATTTTTACGAAAGGAAAACTAGCATGTTTTGTATTCAATATAAATGAAGTATTTGAAAGTAAAAAAAAAATTGTCCATAACATACCAGTTCTTTACGAGTTTCTTCCATTATATGAATAAAGTACTAGCTATTTATGAGCATTTTATTTTGAATCATTTAATTTATATTAAATACATAAATGTTTATAAGTGAAATTCAAAAAGTGTTACACTAATATTATTACGAAAGGGAAACTAGTAGGTTTTGTATTTAACATAAATTAAATATGTGAAAGTAAAAAAAGAAACTACCCACTTTTTACTAACTCTTTACGGGTTTCTTCTATTATATGAATAAAGTACTAGCTATTTATAGGAATTTTACTCTAAATCATATAATTTATGTTAAATACATAAATGTTTGTAAGTAAAATTTAAAAAGTGATATACTAATATTTTTACAAAAGGAAAACTAGTAAGTTTTGTATTTAACATAAATTAAATACGTGAAAGTAAAAAAAAAAAAAAGAAATTGCCCATAACATATCAGCTCTTTATGGGTTTCTTCTATTACATGAACAAAGTAATAGCTATTTATGAGCATTTTACACTGAATCATTTAATTTATATTAAATATACTGGATTAGAAAAGCTTTTTTGAATCACTCCATTAACTCTGCTAATCTCAAGCAGCTTTTCACTTCATTAACTCGGTGGGAAAGGGGGAAACTTGGAGAAGAAAAGCAGTGGGTTAGAGAGAGAGTCAAGTGTGGACTTGTGTCTGACTTGTGTTGATTATAAATTGATATTTGAACATTTGTTAACGGCCACGTGGTCTTCACCGTCCAAATTGAGTAAATTCCCGTTTTTTGATTAAATGTGGCAAAAAATCATTAATTCATGTACTCAATGTATTCTGACGAAAAGTTTGGGGACCAAATGTGTCTTCGTCACAAAGTTTGAGGATGAAAAGTGAATTTTTCCCAGGAAAATTGTGTGGTCAAATGACATTATTGAAAATTTTTAGTCCTTTTAAGAAACTTAAATAAGCAATATAACTTTTATTATGTGTTTTTATCTTATAGCCTTATTAGAATACCTCAATTTACATGTGCAATCCCGCGAGAATCCCATAGACTGAAGCATGAACTAACTCAATCAATCGAATTTTGTCATCATAGGTTTTATTCTACCTTACTTTAGTTCTCTATTTGAAGTGCGGGAAAATGCCGGTTTTCATCCCCAAACTTTGGGTTATGGACACATTTCGTCCCTAAACTTTTGGGCACGACACATTTGATGTCTGAATTAATAACTTTTGACCAATGTCATCCTCAAACGGCAATTTAGCTAATTTTTAACGGAACTGGTCACGTGAAAATCACATGACCGTTAAGTAAACTTAAATGTCCTTGTCTGAAAAACAAAATCAGGTGAAAATGCAGCTGTCTTCACTTTCCCTTTTTCTTCACTTCGGCAACTTCCTCTACAAATTTTTCAAGACTAAGCTTTGCCTGCAAATTTCTCCGAGAGTAAACCCCCTCTTCCAAATCAAATTCTATCAACAAATCGAGAAGAAACTAGCATAAGGCAACACCCAGCGTTGTGGCTGCATTTTCCTAAAATGAGATCGAGAGGTCTTGAGTCGTCATTATCATTAGGGATGGCATGGGGAGGGGGTTGGGGCGGGGGGAATTTTTTTCCCCTAACTTAGAAACTGGGCAGGGGGCGGGGGTACACTCGCTTTAAAAAATAAATATATAAAATATATATGTATATAATTATATATATAATATATAATTTAATTAGTTACAAACTTATGATAATGATATTATTAGTTATATGTATTATATAATGTCTATTAGTATATATAATATAATTGATATTATTAATTATACTAATAATTATATATGTGTACTAATACAAATTATTAATTGGTTATACTAAATTTACTAATACACTTATACTAAATCCCTAATTACACTTAATACAATAACATTTTTTTTCTTAAAAAAAGTACAAGCACAATAATGAATTAGTGATTGTATTTGTGCCAAAAGTGAAAATTTGACTACTTTAGTTATATTTATTTCATCATGTTGGATTGTATTCAAATAATTTTTATTTGATTGTTTTTATAAGTTTCAATTATAAAATTACAATGAATAATAATTTGATGATGTATTGATATTTTAGTACTTGATTATTTGCTAAAATTTAACCATAATAAAATTATATAACAAACAGCAACACCCGGCTCTGTGGTTGTGGATTGCGGGCAAGAATGGCAACATCATGGCGGGATGATAATCCTGGGAGACGGTTCTATGGTTGTTTGAGATGGCCTGTAAGAAAATTTTTATTTTTGTTACTCTTTCAACTCAAATTAAATTGTGACTGTGCTTTGCTGATGTTTCTAAATGGGATTATATTTGTAGAGACCTGACATGTGTAAATATTTTGAATGGCATGATTAACCAGTTTGTACAAGAGGAAGGATGATTATATAAGGTTTGCTAAGGAGGGTGAATCGGATGGAAAAAACAATTGCAAAAAGCCGTAGAAGGGAAAAAATATTGATTGGCATCATCATACTATTGGCTATGCTGCTGATTATGTCTATTATTATAAAAAAGACTGGACATGCAATGGAGCGAAAGTTAGTGCTAAGCTTGGAGTGAGTTATTGAATTGGAACTGCTAAATCTAGTTCATTTTGATTTTTGTATTGTTTATTATTGGATTAGCAATAGTAGAACTAGCATTGGCTGGTTCTCGCAAATGACGACATGTATTGACTCACCTAGCGAGAATGTAGGATTTAGGTCTTGAAGAACCAGTGTATCCTATGTATCTCTCTTGTTTATATGGAATGTTGAGGTTCTATGTATCTCTTTTGTTTAGTTTATGTAATCTTAGTTTGGTAATTTGATTGTCCTTTTGCTTGTTTAAACTGCGAATAATTTGTCAATAAAACTAGTTTGAAGATAGCAAAATGTATCAATAAGCATCATTTGGACAGGACTAATTTTTGCAAATGATGATTTCCATTAATAAAGCACCAAAAACATACTGTTTCATACTTTTTTTTTAATCATGTTTTTTTTTGTCCTATTCCTAGGGACCATCCTTTTCCGCTCGGTCATCTTGGTGATCATGTGGTTCTTGCCTTTGTAAAAGAGGTTATTACGGTCTAATGATTCTTCTAGCCTGAAAGGCTTTTAACAGTATTTTACTTGTCAAGAAAGTTTAGATGTCAGCATAACTAAGAGACATCTTTCAGTAATAAAAATTTAGAGGCACGAATACTCATAGTCAGATTAAAGCAGATAACGTAGTGCATTTGATAGCAACCTTAGTGTCTAATTAATGGAACCTTTGTGCTGAAATTTCCTTGTTGAGGTACATCATAAAAGTCAGTTTTTTGGGTTAGTTTACCAGTGGCAAGAAAGCAGGTGCAGCAACTGGAACAAACATCATAAGATTTTCATTCATTTGACCACCAAATTTTCATTACAAAAACAAGCTACAAGGCAGAAGAAAATACAATCAGTCCATCTCAACATTTCAATTGTGTTCCTATTGTTTCACTTTGGGGACCATAAACAAAAAGATGATCACCATCAACATCAAAGTAAGATGTCAGCATCAAAAAAGGACAATTCCAATTGTCAACTTCAGTCCATAATCTACATCAAAATAAAAGAACCATGTAAGGCATCTACTATGAACATTTATAGTAGTTTGTTTTTCCCCTTCATTCTTGAAGAACCAGCAACTCGTTTGGTAGCAGCAGTAGCAGTAGCAGCAACTTCCATATGGATAGATTTGGCCTTGACAGGCATCTGCACATTCTTTTTCTCTTTTCTTGAATGTAGTGGTTGGCTGTATTTCACTTGAGATCTTTTTAGACCGAAAACTTCATATAGTTGGGGCAGAACTTGTAACAGTAACATCTTCCAAATGATTGGTCTCCTACACCATCTAAATAAATAATTAGAAGATACTATGATAGACTTTGTTGTTGTGGTGAACATGTACCACACTCACAGCTGAATTTGCAAACTTTGTTGCATCATGCATTGAACCATCTTGAACTCTACTTTTTGCATGTGGTCTTTTCTACAAAAGAAAGAAAAACAACCCACAATGACTTAATTTTTATAAACTATTGAATAGAATGTGAGAAAATGAAACTGTAACATAAAAACAGTTGTAATAAAAGGCTTACTAGTATTTTGGCAGACTTATTATTTGGATTCTTGTCAAATATTTGGGGAGTACATGTAACCAGAACCTCGGTGCAATTAGCTTCATTGCAGTCTCCACTGTCAACTTCATCAGATCTTGCATTATTGGCAGCTTCATTGCTCTGTATACCAAATCCCGAGGCATTGTTTTTAGCCTTTTTAAGCTTATAAGATCTCACATTATGACTTTTTTACAAACAGTATTTGTATCTTATTACCTGCCCCACTCTACTTATTTTGTTGGCCTTTTTTTCCTTTGCTTGTTGTTCGTCATCAGCAGTCCTTCTCCTTTGTTTTTTTGGTCTTCCAGCTGCTTTACCATATAAAGGGGGTTTTGGACCATCAACATTAGTCTTCTCCCAATTTCCTTTCCCAGTCATTGGATAAATAGCTCCTTCATAGCATTTTAGGTATGTTTCAACTGTATACCAGCTGGATACATATAACACGGGATCCTTTTTAGCTAACCAAAGTGCAGCAATTGCATGGGGACAAGGAATTCCTGTTAGCTTCCATCTCCTACATGAATAAGTGTGCTCTTTAATGTTCACAGCATAATGATCACCATATGGACATGAAACTTCATACAAGTCATCATTCGACCTGAAAGGAAAACATTGTGTTGCCTTATCCATTATTTTTTGTACTTTCTCAATGATTCTAGGACAATACATATAGTCTTTTCATTTCTATCTAGCAATGTCTCTATTCTACTGCATTCTTTGCATCATATACAGCCTTAGTAATTTCATCATTTCAATGATTGGCTTCTCTCTAGCATCCAAAATTCTACTGTTGAAACACTCACAAATATTATTCAATAGGACATCACACTTTGAATAGGTGCTAAAGTGAGCTCTACTCCATTGAGATGGTGGTTTATCATCAAACCACTTGGCAACATCCAAGTCAATTGCTGCCATGTCTTCCATTTTCCTAATAAATTCTGCTGGTGTAGTTGCATTTGCAGCAGCCCACAATGCTCTCCTTTGAGCTTCACCTTTGAACCCAGAAGTAGAAAAGTTGTTGTGTAAGTGCTTTACACAGAACCTATGAGCTGCATTTGGAAAAACATGGCCACAAGCTTGAATTAGTCTCTTTTGCTTGTCACTCATGATAGTCCATTCATAATCTCTCTCAATTTTCAAATCCTCTTTAAGTAAATTGAAGAACCATGTCCAGAATTCCTTGTTTTCACCCTCAACTGCAGCATATGCAACTAGAAAAATGCTATTATTAGCATCTAGTCCAACAGCAATCAATAAAACCCCCCTACTGTTCCTTTAAAAAATGTGCCATCTATCCCAATCAAGGGCCTACACCCACCTAAAGAGTCTTGTTTCACTCCATGAAAACACAAGTAAAGTCTTTGGAACCTTAATTTGCTGCCCGTTTGAAGTGCCATCCACAGTTTTTAATATGATAGAGCTACCAGGATTAGATTTTTGAATTTCATGCATGTAGGCTCCTAACTTGCGGTATTGGTCACTTTCACTATCATGAATAATGTCCAAAGCCTTTTTTCTAGCCCTATATGTTTGTTTTTTTGTGAAGGAGCATTTGTTATCCTTCATCACTATTTTTCTAAAATGCTCCACATCTACCTTAGGATTGGATTTAAACTTCTCACAGTACTTTCTACCAACCCATCCAAAATTTACAAGTGGATTTTCATAGGTAAAGCCACATTTGTGAATGTCCTCAAATGTTCTAATTTGCACACTTCCTTCTCCACCCAATTTTCTAGCATAGATCTGCCAATTATAGCCTTCACTTCTGCATTTTGACCTCAATCTAACCAAATCCTGCTTCACAAATTTACAAAGCCTACCCTGTCTCACACTGTAGTTTATAATAGCTAACTTGCACTCTTTGATGGTACTAAAAAACATCTTTAATTTCAATTTTGGATTATCCATGTGCTTGGGATTGAACACAACACACCTATTACTATCATTTTCATCATCAGGCCCATGCATATTCTCAAAATCTGATTCAGAATCAGAGGCTACATCATCATCTTCAGGTTGAACCAAATTAGCTTCAACCTGTCCTTGTTTTGCCGAATTAGTTTGCAATTCTTTATAGTGTTCTACACTCAACCATTCAACATTTTTATCTTTGTTATCATTGAAATCAGCATCATCTTCTTCACTTTGATTATAATCAGAATCTACTGCTGAGAAGAAAGATTCACTGGATGAATCAGCTTCATTGTTATCATTCCCTCCCCATTCATGGCCATGATTTGCAATTATATCTTTACCATTACTAGGGCCTTCATTCTCATTAACCTCATAAGGATCATAGCCAAGTTGGTGAACTAGAATTTCATGGAATGAGACTTCAAGGTACAAGATAATTTCCCTAATTGAACCAGCAGTCCTCTGAATATATCCATGCAATTCTCTACTATTGTCTATCCTTTTAAAGCTATTGTTCTCTCAACCATAGTACACTTTGTGACCAAAGACACCAGCAGCTTCAATCAATCTATCCACTTCAAAAATACTCAAACCTATACTCTCAACGTAATCAAGGACACATACATCTCCACCCTGATAATGTGATTGAGGAGTGTAAAAAATCAACCCTCCACAATGACATCTTAGCGTAATCAGTGAGCTACCTTGTTCTGATAATTAAAAAAATGTATATATCAAATACTGAATAAGTAATCAAACCATAACTTTCATATTTTAACAGAATCGGATAACCAAACCATTACTTTCATATTTTAACAGAATCGGATAAACTCATACTCTTTATTATAACTTAACTATCCAAAAGAGACCACAAGTTTATTATTCAAACATATATGTTCTAACCATTAAAAAAATTAATCTTTTCAAACAATGTGGACCAAACATTAACAAGATTACATCCACAAAACAGACATCAAGGGCCCCTATGTATCATATTATAAAAAAAAAGGTCAAACTTTGTAGCTGGACCCAACGAAGTCAATAAAAACATTATAAACAGACATGAAGGACCACATCTACACAGAATGCCAAAAAAAAGGTCAAACTTTTCATTATTAACACTTTAATTAACAAATTACTAAACCCTGGACAGCTTACCATAATTTGGGGGTGCACGATTGTTCAACTTTTTCTTTCGCATCGACATATTTCTCCACTTTCTTACTTAATCACAGCAGGTTAGCTTCTTCGATCTTCTAAAATTTCACGGAATGCGATTTTAAAGAGCAAGGGAAAGGGAAAAGGGTAAGAAGAGAAAGAGAAAGTTCAGATTTGGTTTCGGACAAGGAAAGTGAAGACAGCTGCATTTTCACCTGATTTTGTTTTTCAGACAAGGACATTTAAGTTTACTTAACGGTCATGTGATTTTCACGTGACCAGTTCCGTTAAAAATTGGCTAAATTGCCGTTTGAAGATGACATTGGTAAAAAATTATTAATTCAGACATCAAATGTGTCGTGCCCAAAAATTGAGGGACGAAATGTGTCCATAACCCAAAGTTTGGGGATGAAAACCGGCATTTTCCCTTTGAAGTGTAGAGACATGTTTTAGAGCCTGCTTAGGATTGTGATAGTTTATTGAAAAATACTTTACTTAATAGAGTTTTTAATAAAAGCACTTATTAAGTGCTTAATTGTTTTTAAGTATATTATTTGGATACATAATTCAACAGGTACTTATTGTATTGGATACTATATAATTTGAAATTTTTATAATATATTTATCTCTCTATTTAGTTCATAATATATGATAAAATAATTAAATTTAATGTTTTATTTTTTAATACATAAAAACCATTTTAAAAGCTCCAAATTTGAGCTTTTGTTATTAGTGCTTTTAATACTAAAAGTTTCACTCCTAATTTTATGAAAGAAAAAAATGCACTTTTCATTCTTAAAGGTTGGGTTGATGACCAATTTCGTCCTCAAAGTTTCATCAAAAATACATTTCATCCTCAAAGTTCCTAAATTTTGGCCAATTAGAGACAATTGACAGAATAATACTCAATTTGGACGGAAAGCAGTACATAAGAAGCATGCCCCGTTAGAGCCAACTTTGCATTCAACAAAAAACAGGTAAAACCTGTTCTTACTTCATTTATGTCCTCTCCACTCCTTTTCTTGTTGTAGTTCTAAAAAAATTTCTAACCACTAAATCCAATCATTTGCTGGCAAAAAGGTTGACATAAATGGTCGATATCCAGTTATTCATGGATTATAGGTGACTTGGATTTGAGTATCTACCAGACGCATTAAATTAGCCCAGTCCATTTAATTTAATTTAATTTAATTTTTTATCTATCAAAAAAATATATAATAGAGGAAACCCTATTTGCAAAAATAGAGGAAAGCCATAAAAAGCTGGTAGGTTGTTGTTACTTTATCTTGTATAGAAACTACCAGCTGTTTATAACTTTTAATTTTAGGGATAATTTCAGAAACGTCAGGGGAGGTTTTTGACTATTGCAGGTAGGTCCTCTCTAATTTAAAAGATTACACTTACCTTCTCTACTATAGCATTTCAGTAACAATATAAATCCACTATGCTAAATCTGTTCTAAAAATCCTAAAATACCCATTTGTTAGTTAGAAGGGGGGAAAACTCGCTCATGAATTTCTTCCACATTGCAACTATTGCAATTCGCATAACTACCACCCTAATGAAGTCAATAAGCCACCTTAACTTAATCCTCGTATTCTCATAATTTCGAAAGCCCAACTTTGCAGCCTTAATGCTTCCTGTGCAAATCAATTATGACAATTAAAATTTGCATTCAACCTAATCTTTTTCCTCAATTTTTTTTGCCTAAATTTTGCATCTAAATTGACCAATGTCATTTTTCAAATTCAATCAAAATGGATGCAAGCTTGTTGATGCTAAAATAATATAACCCCCCAAAAATACCAATATGGAGCAACCAAAAGCAACATTAGAGACCACATTCTATGTCTTTAGGCAAATTTGATTATAGTTCTTGTATCCCAAAATTCTTTTTTTTTTTGCACAATTAGTATAATAGTGTAATCTTCCTCAATCTATGTTTCTTTTTTAGCCATCATTTTTATTTTCTTGTTTATATTCTGTATCACTACCATTCTTTTCATTTTTATTTAGTTTGACAACAAATATGCTTTGACAACCTATCATTTAGCAATGTCAATTCAATAATACTTACAAAAAAGGAAAACAAAAAAAAAGAGGATCTATTTCCATAATATTGAGGATTCGGGATGTATTAGATGGTTGTGTAGATGATAACTCTGAAAAAAATGTGGACTATGAAATACAGGGGAGAAAAGGTAAGAGAGAGCATCGAAGAGAGAGAATAAGAGTTTGTTTTGTATGGTAGCCGTTGTTTTAAAATGAAAGATTAGTTTTAGTTGTAGGCTTTTTTAGAAATTATCTATAAGTGAAAGATATTATAGTTATTTTACTGCATGAATGGAGGTTAATGTAATTATTCAAAACTAAGGGCAGTGAGTGAAATTGTCAGAAACCTCGGGGAGGCATCTGGAATTATTCTTTTCTTTTATCTTGTCCAAAAATTATCACCTCTTTATAACTTCTTTTTTTTTTTTTTTACCTTCTCTAGAAATGAAAAAAATACTAGCTGTGCTTAGGATTCTTTGTGAGCTTCTTTTATTTCCTACAAACTATAAGCTGTTTGTTGCTTTCATCCATTATTTGAAATAACTACCAGTTATTTATGAGTATGATTTTCAGTTCCAAGCTAAAATGGGCATTATATAAAAAAACCACCAACTGTTTTTATCTTCATGCTGATTTGCATGTCAATAAGGTAAGAAGGAAAAATTTGGTAGAATTTTGCCTTAAATTTTAACAATCCGAAGTAACAACCAAACTGGATACTGTAACCAAATTAATATAACCAACTAAAACCATCAAAAAAGAAGGGGTATAAGCTTGTCAAAAATGCATTCCAAGTGGTCCTTGACATGGTTCCTACTGAATATGGACCATAAACAAAATAATGTAAAGATACAAATTTTAGAATTCAAAAGTTATAACACTGGTGTCTGCACTTCCGAACGGGTTTTATCCTTTTTTTATTGGTTCTAACAGAGCATGCTTCTCACGTGCAGCATTCCGTCTAAATTGATTGTTATTCTGTCAATTGTCTCTAATTGGCAAAAATTCAGGAACTTTGAGGATGAAATGTATTCTTGATGAAACTTTGAGGACGAAATTGGTTATCAACCCAACCTTTGAGGATGAAAAGTGCATTTTTCCCTTTTATGAAATGATATTCACCAAACGCTTTAAAAGTACTTTTTTTTTTTTTTTTATCAAAGACCACAATCCGAAACGGGCAAGGGTTTAGCTACTGTTTGCTTCATATTCTAGCTCAAATCCTAAAGTTTGCGCGGAATACTAATCTTCGATCCTCCTTTGACAATAACTCCTTTGACAATAACTCTTAGGAACAAACCGAAGACTGAAAACCCATTTTTTAGCACTAGCGCTTACAGGTATGCTTACTAATTTAAAGGGTTTAATCTATTATAAGAAATTAGGAAAATTCTAAAATGACGATAGGATAAGCTTACTAATTTAAAGCGTTTAATCTATTTTAAGAAATTAAAAAAATGCTAAAATAACGATTGTTATGGTAACAAAATAATTTGTACATGATATAATAGGTTATCACAACAACTATTTGATTATCTGCTTTTTGCACGCTATAAGATGTGGACCAAAAACGCAAGATAAGAAAAGGGTTCTTCTTTTTCCATGAAACATTTTTAAGTGGTTCACACATAAGAAGTCGGCCTTCAGCACACACCAAAAAAAAGGGTAAATTACATTTTACCCCCTATGATTTAGTATTTATTTACATTACCCATCTATGGTTTCAAAAATTATACATAACCCCCTCGTAGTGTGGATTAAAATGTCAAAGTAATGAAATTTGCAATCCATAACGGAGCCAACTAAAATATCAAAAATACCTCTATGTAAAGTTAAAAATTATTTATTAACCATAGGAGAGGTTATGTATATATATTGAAAACTATAAGAAGATTATATGGTAAAACACTTAACTATAAGGGGGTTACATGGTAAAATATAAAACCATACCTAGTTAGAGTATCATGCATATTATATTTATATATTTTGATCACTTCAACCATTTTAGTTTTTAAATAAGGGTAATTTCGATATTTTTATAGGTTCCGTTATGGATGATCATTTACATCACTTTGACACTTAATTTAAACTATGAGGAAGTTATATAGTTTTTAAAACTATAAGGGAATTATGTACAATTTAGTTATACAACAAGGGGTAAAGTGTAATTTGCCCAAAAAAGGTAGACCACATGCATATTAATCAGAAAAAAAGAAGTCTTCTTTTTTCACGAGATTGTAACAAAACTACGTACTTGTAAAAGCACCAGCACTAAAGATGTTTAATAAAATTCCAATTACCTACATATTACCAACCACTGAGATTCGTCTAAGAGAACTCTTAAAATATTTCCGATTATCAAGTTTAGAGTTAAGGTTCGAATTTTGTACTGACAGTTATAATTAGGGTAATTAGGGGAGGAGGGTAGGAGAAAACTTCACATTGCCGACAACGCACACAGAAAGTTCATGCAGGGAGAAAGAAAAGGTTTGAATAAAAGAAGAGAATACTCAGTGAAAAGACACACAACAACCAATAGTCTGTCCTCCCGACCTTGCTAGGACAAAGATAAGTCTGATGACTTGCTTTATCCTGTTAATCTTCAAATGGCTCATCAATCAAGCTAGGTGCAGGATTTGAGTTTGAGCCAAAATGAGTGAAGCTTTTCGCACAAAATTTCTGGACAAACAACTAGCCACCCATACAAGTTCACAAACCGATATATGTATGTGTGTGTGTGTGTGTGTGTGTATATATATATATATATATGTAAATGTTCTGGAATGTCTGAAATCTTTCATTCAGATGAAATACAAGGCCAATTTTCCTCATTATTCTGCATGCGTCTTCCTAAGTTTGACACTTACTACACACACCAAACTCGATGGGCTAGGTTTTATTCAACGATACTGGCTTGCTAGCTCCCCATCCTTGACAATGTAATGTTGTGGAGGGAAATCTTCTCCCTTGAAGTACCTATCCAGCATGTCCTTGACT